GGGGTTAAAGAGTCTCCAGCGTTGTGTGGTGTGTGGATCTTCCTGTGACCCTCATCACTCTGGCCCTTGTGCTGTGTCAGCAGGGGATCAGGGACAGCCAGGACAGGGGTCCTGCTCTGGGCACGGCTGCTCTGGAATGCTCACTGGGCTCCTCAAAGTGGAGATCCACACGGCAAAGGTCTAGGGTTTGTTTTCTTTTAGTGTGTTTATCTGCAAGGGAGGTATTAAAAGTGGGATTGTAAACTTATTGGATTTCATTAACCAATGTCACCATAAAAAAGAAAAAAGAAAAAGAAAGAAAGCTACTTACCATTTTAAAAAAATAAAATAAAATAAAAGTGAGATTGAAGTGGGCATATTTTTTGGAGGCATATGTCACCTGAATACAACAGCTTGGGGTTGATATTGGAAAGGGGGGAGCCAAACTTAGGAATTTGCTGGATGTCAAAGGGACTTAGGATCATCTCTTAGATCATAAGCTATCTCAGTGGGAAGAAGCTTTGGAGATCATTAGCTCCAAATTTGTATAGATACCAAGAAAGATAAAAGAAAAGTGTGACTGTTCCAACATCACACTCTAGAACCAATGGGGAGAGATAAAACAAATGTCAAGTTGTGTTTATACATCAGATAAAGGTTCATCCACCACTTCTACCACTTGAAGTTCTCAAAAGTAAAATTTCTCTGATTTTTCTGAAAAATCTGGCGGATTTGGTCTCACTTCTTAGTTTCAGGGCTCCTCACAGCAATTTTAGAATGATGTCTTTATTCTCTTCTGTGGCCATCCCCTGAAAACCCATAACCCCAGTCTAATCATGAGAAAACATTAGGCCAACTCCAACTGAGGGACATTTACAAAGAACCTGACCAGTACTCCTCAAGGTCATCAAAAACAAGGGAAGCCTGAGAAACGGTCACAGATCAGAGGAGCCTAAGGAGACATGACGATCAAATGCGATGTATCCTGAATGGGATCCTGGAACAAGAAAAGGCCATTAGGGAAAAACCAGTGAAATCTTAATAAAATGTAGGGTCTAGTTAACAGTAATGTAACAATGCTGGTTCCTTAGTTGGATCGAACGTTCCATAGTATGTAAGATTTTTAACAACAAGGGAAACTGGGTGATGGGTATACGGAAATTCTGTACTATCTTTGCAACTTTTCTGTAAATCTAAGACTTTTAAAATAAAGCACTTATTTAAAGATATATAAAATGTTGCCTTTCAATTTCCTCAGACTGGGACCTTTTTCAGATGTTTGATTACAGTGCCTGTAATGTGCTATGTGTGGAATAATAAATATTTGAGGGCAAAGGGAGGGAGGAAGATACTGAAGTACAAAATACGAAAGTAAATATAACTATACAGCAACTGATGACTGCATAAAAAATGTGGTATATTTATTTAATGGAATATTATTGACCATAAAAAGGAATGAAGCACTGAGATATGCTTCCTTATGGATGAACCGTGGAAATAATATGCTAAGTGCAAGAAGTCAGACATAAAAGACCATACACTGCATGATTCCGTGTAAGTGAAATCTCTAGAAAAAGGAAACCCACGGAACAGGAAGTAGATTAGTGGTTGCCAGGGCCTGGGGCAAGGGGCAATGGTGAGTGATTGCTAATGGGTATAGGATTTCTTTTGGGGAGGGGGAGTGTCAAGGAAAATGCTCTGCTATTAGATAGGGTGATAGATGCAAACCTTGTGAATAGACTAAAAACCCAAATTGTCCTCTTTAAAAGGGTGCATTTATGGCGTGTGAATTACATAACAAACTAAAAAATAAAATAAAGTGAAAATGTTAAAAAGTAAATACAACCTAATCTGCACCATCAAGGAACTCATGGTGTATTGGGGGAGAGAATTTCAGTCCAGTGACTGTAAATCTTTCTTTTCCGTGGGGGCAGGAGCATGATAGTTTTATTCACCATTGTATCCCCGGCACCCAGCGCCTGGCCTTTAACAGGCTCTCAAGAAGTACTTGATGAATTAAAAAATAAATGTGATGTGTTAAGTCCTATGCCAGCTATGGAGTCACAGAAAAGAGGCTGAAGATGTTCAGGAAAACCTAGGATGCTCCGAAAAAGCTCAGGCTGTGATGTGGACAAGATTTACTGTACAGTAACACTATAAAGGTTGTCAAAACCCTCTGGAGTGACTAATCCATGCAGTCCTGAGTCCCCAAGCAAGGCCCTGCAAGGTACCTCATTCTAGCTCACTGCCCACTCCATGTGCCTGGGACCCTTTCCTCTTGCATATCCACAAACTCGTGGAGGAAGCTTGAGCCAGTGTAGAGCAGCTCTGCTCTGCCTGGGAGCCCACAGTCTAGAGAAAGGGATGTGTATGTATACACACCCCGCAACCCACAGCTTCCGATACAGTGTGCTGAGAGTGAGAACAGAGGCATGTGTGAAGGCGGTGGGAGCCTGGAGGGAGCAGCTCATGGATCTGGGTGGAGGCAGGTCACAGAAGCTTTCCCAGAGGAGATGACATCATCTCAGCATGAGGGAATTTGAAGCATGAGGAATGGATTGATTCTGAAACACTGTTTCTGGGTTGGTATATCTCCACCTGTTCCTCTCATAAATGGTTGATAGTTTTTTTTGTTCCTTCTTCCCAGGGGAGCTCCATAGAGCCTTAGATACAGGCATATCTCATTGTATTGTTTTGCTTTATTGCGCTTCACAGATGTTGCATTTTTTACAAACTGAAGGCAAGACCCTCCACCAGCAAAAAGATAATGACTCACTTAATTACGATACTTGCTTTATTGTGGTGATCTTGAACTGAACCCACAATATCTCCGAGGTGTGACTATTCAGTTTTTAATGTCATCCCTGAAGCCCCAGTAAGACTCCCAAGGTGATTCAGCTACTCAAAGGTAAGTGCCATGAAAAATGAAAACTACTTTCGACTTTTAGAGCCACCCAAAAGGAAGTGAATTTTTGAAATCTGGTTTCAAGGACTTCAAAATACCAGGCCGTGTGGCTGGAAATTGAGTGTCATTGACATGTGAGGGACTTGGCAGAGAGCTCTCCATTGCAAGCATGAGCTTAGAGGAGAAAGAATTCTGCAGAACTATGCATCGTAGCCTTGGCAGAATATCTGAGTAGGAAGAGCAAAAGATTTGCAGTCAGACAAAGCTGGGTGTGAAAAACAGTCCTGCCACTTACCAGCTGTGTCATCTTAGAAAATACAAAATCTGAGCCTCAGTTTCTTTGTGTATAACATGGGAACATAGTCTCTAGCCTGCTGGGTTGCTTCGGCAATTCAAAAAGACAACGTGTGGGAAGCACCCAGATCAATGTCTGGCAATTAAGAGACCCTCCATAAATTGCAGGTATTATTTCATTATTATCACAATTGTCGTTGCAATTATATAGAAATACCTTGTCAATTTGGATGGTATTTGAAAATATATTTTCATCCCCAAATTCCCACTCACCCGCTAGCTTATTTTTAAACCTCTCCAAAGAACGAATTGAGCTCTGGGTTTTTATCCTGGCTAAATTTTAAACAAAGTGTCTATACCGTTTCATAATGAGTATTCGTGATGAAATCACAGAACCACAGAAACTGGAGATAGGGAAGCTCCTGTGCCTTTCAGCCTTGTCTACAAAACAAAACAAAATAAAACGAAGAGCCTCTCTGTCTCAGTGGATATGCAGAGGATGAGAGATTTTATCCCTAACGTATCTCAAGCTTTAAAGTGAAATCTGATTTTATTGCCCGTCTCTTAATAAGTCTTCGGCATTGCATAATGCACTACTTTAAGGTAACACCATGTAGATGTATAAACTCACATGGTTTAAACAGAAAGAAAAGACGAGAAGGAGGGGGTTGGGGAGAGGAAGGGGAAGGCACAGGTGATTCTAGTGAGCAGCCAGAGACCCACTGGAAGGTGCCGATTCCCTTTTGCACTTAACTCCACACCGCCTTGGTAAAATGATAAATAGGAGATACCTGCTTTCTTGTGTCTCCCTACAGGTTCAGTTGGGTTTTACAAAATTGCACCAACTGACATTTACTGCACTTGATAGATACTTCTGGGTGCCATGTGCTTATTGTAAAACAATCACTAGCAATGCTAGGAACCACAATAGATGAAGGACAAGGCTGTTTAATTCACATTTACATGTTAACAGAGCCCAAGGCCTCAGCCGGGTGAGTGTTACTATTTAAACACTGGGCGGCTTACCAGGGATTTCACATATTCGCTGGACTCTCTAAGCTGCTGATCTGATCACAGACACCACATCCAAAGAAGTAAGTTAAAAAATTTTAAAGAATTTTTTAAATTAAAGCAGAATTGTTTCTTTTCAGCTTTCACGCAATGCCGGTTTCAGGTTGTCTTGGAGATGGTTCTTGGTGTGCTCTTTGTTCATGTAACCGCTAGATGGTGCACATTACAAAACATTAGCCCTGCAGTGGGGCTGCATTTTCACTTTGCAATCAGAGGTAAGGCTGCTAGATTTAGCAAATAAAAAAAGATTCCCAGTTAAACTTGAATTTCAGATAAACAAATATTGCACGGAACACACTTATACTAAAAAAATTACATGTTTTTTTATCTGAAATTCAAATTTATCCTGTATTTTACCTGGGTCCTAAAGTAGCACCATGTTTAGACAGCCTCATAAGAAAGGTCAAACAATGACACACTTTAGAAATTTTTGTTCTGTGAGATAACTGAATTCCTTAGGTCGATACATGGATAAACATGAAAAGGAAAAGAGCCTGCATTTTTCAGATTTTCCTTATAACCCCCAAGTCATAACGGTCCTAGAGAGGAAGCTGAGCACTTCTCCAAGGGAGGGGAGGGGAGAGGAGGAATCAAGATAGTGAGTCATCCTTACTCCCCTGCTGAGAGGTTCCCACCCCGGGGAACTCTGCCCATCTGCATGGATTTATTCCACACACCTTACTGAGGTCCCTTCTGCATGCCAGGTGCTGCAGATAAAAACACCACATTATTTTACAAGTGAGGAACTAGACTCAGCGTTCCCAAGACAACATAGCAAGTAATGCAGCTGAGATTTTAACCTAAGCAGTCTGACTAAGAGAAGCCATTATAGAAACTTCGACAATGATTAAAACGCAGTCCCTACTCTCAGAGAGATCATAATCTAGTGAGAACAGATAAATAAATAATAAGAGGCAGATGATACTGGAGGTGAGCAACAGAGAGAAATCATGCAGTAAAATCACAGAGACTTAAGCCAGTGGTGGGTGGGAAGAGAGCACAGGGTGGCCAAGGAAGGTTTCCCCAAGATAATGAGGTTTGAAAAACAAGGAAG